AAATAAATCCATGAGTAAAAAACTGATACAGAACAGGCCTTTATTGGTGCATTCACTGCACACTGCACCTTACACTCTGAGACGCTTTAAAGTCATCTTATTTTTGTTGTGAGTATTTTCTTTCTTGAATTTACTTCATGGGCAATTATATTCAGTGTTTTCCTGTACTTTATTAAGATTAAGAACCATTATTTTACTTAATCTTTCTCTACTGGGTAATTTTTACCTTTTTGTTGTTGTTGGGTTTTTTTGGGGGTTTTTTTTTTACATTTTTCGTCTTTACTTAAGCAAGTCATCATCATACATCGGCTTTCTTCTAATGATTTGATTGCAGTAGCACGTTAATTTTCCAGCATTTATATCTCAGCAGAATAAAGGAAATTACATGTCTTTTACCAGATAGAAACGAAAGGATTAATGGGGAAAAGGTGAAAAGAGGGGGGAAAGGCATGAAGCTGGAACAAAAGAAATCCTTTTTTTTCTTTAACTTTAGAATAAAATTACTAGAAAACTGTGTAAACATATTTTTCAGTTAGACAATACAGCTAAACGAGAGCAAATGTCAAATATCTCACTTTTTCCTTCTGTGCCATAGACGATCTGCTAAAACTGCAGAAGCTGCGTAGTGCCCCCGGCTGGTCATATTGCAGTATTGCACCTTAGCTACAAGGAGCTTCCTGCAGAGGTTAAAAAATAAAACGAGCTAAAATGTCCTCAGAGCCATTAATGTGCTCTCTTTCTGACTGGCTGCAGGCCACCGGCCAACTTACTAATGACGTTTGTGAAACCTGCTGTGTATTATTAAGGTCCCCGGACCCCCGTGTGTGGGCTTTCCTACCACTAGGACTGAGCATTAAACAGAGGCTGGTGTTGTTTCGGGACTCGCTGTTCCAGCTGTTGTGGGAGGACCAGGACCCATCAATCCAAACCTACCAGCCCTGGAGGAAAACCACAGCATCCCCATAACTGCAATTTTTTTCAGCTGAGTGGGAACTAGTTTGAAATATAAATCAAAACATGACCAAAAACACAAAGAATGGAACCAGGAAAATGGTTTTCAGCATTATAAGCCAATATTTTCAAGGAGGCACTGAAAGATTTTTCAGAAAATGACCCAGACAGTCATCAGTCACGTGATCGTTTTTTGCCTTTAAATGCGTTCATTAAGGTGGTATCTGTCTTTGGGGACATGCCTGAAGCAGCAGAGGAGACAATCTGCAGCAGAACAGAGAGGACACCAGATGACTTCATGGTGATGTATGATTAAACATACAGAAAGTCAAACCCTTTCTTAGGCTGTGACAGGAAGAACACCCTGTAGGCCACATACAGTATTTGAAAGGGAACCCTTATGAGCAACACCTGGTGACTGTGGGAAGGAAGAACCCCCTTTTGAAAAGAACTGTCCTGCAGCTGTTTGCTAGGTGTGACATTTTTAGCCATTTCCAGGTCCAGGTGCTCCTTTGGTTCAGAATATCAAACACCAAGGGTTAAAAACTTTCCAATAAAATGATGTGTAGCTGAAGTTTAACATTCGAGCATCCATTAAAAAGACAATTTATGAGGTTTAGCCCAGTTAGCAGGAGGTTAGCTTGCAGGTTCATCTATCAACAGATGAAAACCATACAGTACCAAATCTGACTGAAGGATTTCTAAAGCTCTGAACGATGCAGCATGTTTGAAGGGTTAGTGAAGTTGGGCTAGCGATCATATATGACTGCACTACCTGTTGGAGACGTACTTATCTTATCTCAGTCGGGCTGAGAGCGCTTCTTTTCTGAACTGCTCAGATATTTGGTGTCTGGGACATCGCCAGGTCATCAACACTGAGCTTAAAGACTTGCTGAACATAAATAGTGCCAGTGAAAGAAACAGAGAGGCAGAAAATAATGACTGAATACTTTTTGGAGGCTAGTGTCTAAAAAATGAGAAGCTCATCCATGGAGACACCTGGATAGGTAACAGGATCACTATGAAGGTGTCCCGAGTACAGTTTTTGAACATGAGGAAGAACGGGACAAAAGCTCACAGATGACAATGACGAGAGGTTTTCACTGGATTATTTTGTTTTGCCTTTTTGCACACGCCGACTGCGGCTGCTGGAAATGAGCTAAATGAGGCAATAACTACTCGCTAAAGATCACAATGACTCACAAATTCAGCTGCCTTATTGAAAAAGAAATAGAACAAATGGCTGGTGCTTGAATTAATTATGTTGGGAAAAGATTTAATTGCTTTGTATTTGAAGTGTATCAAATAAACAGATGTACTAATAGTGTAATTCATTACATTATTATCAGGATGTCCAAAAATTTGCTGAAAAGCCTTCAGTTAATCCAAAATGCTGCAGCAAGAGTCCTGACAGGGACTAGAAAGAGAGCAGATTTCTCCTGTTTTGGCTTCCTGTTAAATCCACAATTCAAAATCCTGCTCCTCACATACAAGGTCTTAAATAATCAGGCCCCATCTTATCTTAATGACCTTGTAGTACCATATCACCCTATTAGAGCACTTCGCTCTCGCTCTGCAGGCCTACTTGTTGTTCCTAGAGTATTTAAAAGTAGAATGGGAGGCAGAGCCTTCAGTTTTCAGGCCCCTCTTCTGTGGAACCAGCTTCCAGTTTGGATTCAGGAGACAGACACTATCTCTACTTTCAAGATTAGGCTTCAAACTTTCTAACTTTCCTTTTTGCTAAAGCATATAGTTAGGGCTGGACCAGGTGACCCTGAATCCTCCCTTAGTTATGCTGCAATAGACGTAGGCTGCCGGGGATTCCCATGATGCATTGAGTTTTTCCTTTCCAGTCACCTTTCTCACTCACTATGTGTTAACAGACCTCTCTGCATTGAATCATATCTGTTATTAACCTCTGTCTCTCTTCCACAGCATGTCTTTATCCTGTCTTCCTTCTCTCACCCCAACCAATCACAGCACATGGCCCCGCCCCTCCCTGAGCCTGGTTCTGCTGGAGGTTTCTTCCTGTTAAAAGGGAGTTTTTCCTTCCCACTGTCACCAAAGTGCTTGCTCATAGGGGGTCATATGATTGTTGGGTTTTTCACTGTATCATGAAGCGCCTTGAGGCGACTTTTGTTGTGATTTGGCGCTATATAAATAAAATTGAATTGAATTAATACGGAGGGCCAAAACCAAACAAGAGGTAAACAAAGTGCTGACATTTCCCTGAGCCACGGTGAAAACCCACTGCAGTGGCAGTTAAAGAAGTTCTCTATTAAAGAAAAAGTTGAACATCTAATTAAATGTACAGACTATCTTGTTAAAGAGGCACCCGTCCAGGATAACAGCCTGTTTCCTTAATTATCTGTGTTAACTCCTAACACACTTGTTTTGTTGATGATGCTTCCTGATGGCGTGCTGCTTTAATTAGTCCCAACTTTCTTTTAAATTACCAAACGATAGCAACTCTGTGAACAAATGTTTCTTCTGATTGTGCCCACGTCATCTGACCGACACACACACCATTTTTACATCTTTTCAGTATTTGGTATAATAACCTCTTTATATTTAATGTAGTAATGCAATATTTTATCTTCATACTATGAATATTTTCAGAGTAAAAGCCCACAGAGTCCCCAGGGGTGGCTCAAATGTTATGCTTATTACTTTTACCAACATTTCTGAGGCTTTATGACTTCATAAGTGCAGGAGATATTTTCAGAGCTGAAAAACAAATTTAAGTTCTGTAAAAAAATCAACTAAATCAATTTTACACCCACACCAGGAGTCACAATCTAAAGTTAAAATTACCCTGAAACCAAGTGCATCAGTTTTATATTTATAACAGAGGATCAGAAATAAACGCTGGTAGCCAAGAAAACAGAGAAAGGGTTTTTAAAAAGTGGGTAAACTTGGCTCAATAACAACAAAGTTAGAGGTTTGGAAACTTCTAACTGGGCTAAGATTTTCACTGGGAGTGACCGGGATGGACAAGATTAGACGGCTCAGGTCTGGAGACAGAGGCTGCGATGGTTTGGACATGTGCAGAGGAAGGACAGTTGATATAGTGGACAAGACCTCGGAGAAGAAAAAACAGATGTAGTGAAGCCGGACATGCAGAGAGATGCTAGGGAGAGATGGAGGCAGATGTGGAGACCCCAAAGTTACAAAATGCTCCACAGAAAGAAAAACACACAGAAAGAGCTGAAAACATGAAGTCATTTGAGTGATTTGTGGCATACTGTTAGTCTGGAAACAGTCATCAGAAGGTGGATATGGCCAGCAACAGCACTCAGGTAGCCTGTGGTGTTTATACAAGGCTCTGTTGGTACTAAGTGGCCCAAAGTGTGCCAAGAAAAGTCCCCCACACCATCACACCACCAGCATCCTGAACATTTGACACAAGGCAGGCCGGATCCATGTTTTCATGCTGTTTACACCTAATTCTGACCCTACTGTCTGAAACGCACAGCAGAAACCTTCTGCTGCTTTAGTCCTTCAAGGTTTGACGTGTTGTGTTCACACTTTGGTCATTTGAGTTAGTTACCTTTCTAAAAGCAGTGCGTCTATTCTCCTCTGACCTCTGGCATCAATGGGCCATTTTCTCTCAGAGAACTGCTGCTTACTGGATATTTTCTTTTTGTGTGGGTTATGCGGGACTACTCGGACCAGTCTGTCCATCTTTCAAAGTCCCTTAGATCATATTTTTACCACCTTCTCATGCTTAGGTTAAACTTCAGCAGGTCACCTCGATCAAGTCTACGTGCCTAAATGCTTTGAGCTGCTGCCACGAGAGATATTTGTGCTAACAAGGAGGCGAGGGTGTATGCTGTCGGCCTTTACAGGAAACAGGTGATGCCAGTTGTTTGTTATCGATCCGTCGAGATCAAATATGTGAATTTCTTTAAAGCTTGTCGTTGAGAAAGGAAGCGCTAAGCACTCTTTGAGTAAAAACATATTTCTCTTAGCTTTAGTGCTCGATACGCTGAATAAATCTGAATATCTGAAACCACAAAACTGCTGAATGTCCATTAAGATCTCAGAAGAACAACTCAGCAACTCATTTTATTTTGAACACATTCATCAGTTTGAAGAAAGAACACACGACCGAAAGAAAAAACATAAGCAAATATGACAAAATAAGGTATAATCCACTCAATTCTGTTTTCCTCAATTCAATTTTTCAATATACATTTTCAAATTCCACAGACTCCTGTTCACACCAACATATCTCTGTATCACACTGTAATTATTCATTATGTAAATAAATACACAAAAACTGAAAGCAAAGATTGTTTTTGCTGCCTAAATGCAAATTTTATCATGAGTTTGTTTATCACCGTTCTGCTGCAGTAACAAGCTGCAGTGTGAAGAGTTCCTCAGCTGTAGCACAGGCTGTGCATGCAGACTGCGTCCAGTGTTAATGAAAGAAAGGCTGCAGGAGAGAGCAGGAGGACTGCCGGGCTCGTTTCCTGCGAACAGGAGCGTGAACACAGGAATCTTCCCTTTGACAAAATTAATTAATTAAAAAATAATAATAATAACAGAGTTCAATCATATGAATAAACAGAAAACATACAAGCTTGAAATCCATCATTATTTAACTCCATCAGCTCAGTTCTGTTCAGGCGCACTGTGGCCTCTACCATTTTTTTTTTTTTGGGAGCCAGAAGTGACCACATCTGGATGAGAGAGTGGAGCGACAAGTTACAGCTACTTTATTTAATGTGCATCAATAAACTGATGGATTCAGATATCTGCCAATTCATGCAAATGACAGACTTAAAAAAGTACAAGAATTTCCCCCAAAGCTGAAACACCGACTTCCTGGACCATGATTGGTACGACTGCACAGCGAGTCGTGTTTGTTAGAGAAACGCATTCAAAAATGCGCCAAAAGGAACCAACACCACAAAGAGTTCCAGTCAGGAACTCCAGTTAGCTGACACGATGATAGTTAGCGATAGCAGCTTCAGCTCTTTTCAAAGAGGCCACACCCCTAATAATGCAAACTTTAGGCCTTAATGTGATATAAACAAGTGAAATTCACTTTGTGTACAGTTGTTCTGTAAGGGGAAACTGGCCATGGAGACCTAAACCGTGTTTTTGTTGCAGGCTGTAAACGGATATTTTAACATGGGCGTCTGTGGGGACTGACTCACTGCTGGAGCCTCTGGTGGACATTAGAGGAACTGCACGTTGTGGTGCTTCCATGTTAATTTCCCTGGGCTACTTTTTTTTTTTTAATAAGACCACAAATTTTCAGTGCAGCAGCTTTGAGGTAGTGCTAACATGATAACAGTGCTCAGCATTCTTACCTGATCGCTGCAAAAATAACAGAACCGTGGCTGATAGTAGTGCACAAGCCAAAGTGCTGGATATATTTATCTATAGTGGCACTCAGTCATAGACTGTATATAAAGATCGATGTACCTTTTGGGTACAAAAAGTAAAGCCTTAAATCTGCATCCCTTTTATTGTCCAGTAGGGGGCGACTCCTGTGGCTGTGGAAAGACGTCTGATTGTGTAAAAGTCCACGTCTGTCTCACCCGAGTTCTTTTGCAAACTCTTTGCCGATGAGTTTACGGCCACACGCGCTTGTTTTAAATTCATTGAAAGAACGTGACGCTACTTTTGTGAACACACAGAGTCCAGAAGGACGACGGAGCGTACGAGCCTACAGTCGCCCTCAGTCTCTCCCTCCCCACTCTCTCAGATAGCAACAGCAAAGCGTGAGGCAGGACTTTGCTAACCAGTGGGTCACATCACAATACAGAATCAAAAAGTTATCAAACACTGAGCAGTTCATCCTGAGATGGAGGTTATTTTACCTCAAAACCTCAAATGTGAATCTCGTGGTGAGATTAGAGCAGAAACAACGAAACATTAGAGTCAATAAGAGTCATCCTCTGATAATCACAAAAGTCTGTACAAAACAGATACTGTCACTCAGCTAAGATGTGCTTGAGAAGACGAGGAGGTAGAAAATCTTTAGTATTCATCCTCCACTCAGCATGCATGGCACTGACATAGAAAACTGGGTTAGTGAAGATGCTGGAAATACAGCAATAACTTCATGGTATCTACATTTATTCATATGATAACTTTCAAAAGCATATGCTGATGTAACGCTGATCACTTTAGCTTTTTAGAAGGTGCAAAGGAAAATTTACAGCTGGTGAAATACATTCGACTCTGCGGTAAACCAGGCTGAAGTGTTAAAGTGAATCAACGATCCAGAAAACAAATACATCAAGTCTGTTAGGCGTCCACCTGTATACCTTACTGGAGTAGGACGATAGTTTAAAGTGGACTTATTCTGCTCCATAGTTATTTATTCTTGGACTCTACCAGAGTAGCTTTGCATGATTCACAGTTCAAAATAATCCTTATTTATCTTTTTGTGGACCTTTGTTCAGCCTCTGAGTTCATCCTCCCCCTTTAAGGGTGACTTTATTCTAATTGGTCTGAACACCAGTTGGGCGGGGCTTTTATAATATGACCATATTAGGTATATCCCATGTCTGTGACATGAAGCGTAGAAAGAACTGTGTGAAACTTTTTCACACTTAGATGATGTTTGGTACAATAATTCACCATTTCAAGAGTTTATAGATATAACAGAGCAGAATAGGTCCAGTTTAAAACTCTCCATTTATTTTCCTAATTTGTTTGAAATATTTGCGCTTGCAGTTCCTGCTCGGCTGCTTTAAAGAGCTGTCTGAGCTCCTTAAAGGTACTTTTTATACGTTTCCCAACACGGGGGCGGCATTTAATCTGTGCTTGTTATGTTAATGACTTCCCTGGTGACTCACTTCACCAATTCGTGGTACAGACTGGCTTATATGAAGGTACAGCCCATCCTTTGTTTAGCTTCAGCTGATCTCTCTAACACCAGCTTTGGACATCGACTCAGCGCGTGTTTACACTTACAAAGCTTTAAAATAAGTAGCTTTAATGCTCACGCAGGTTTGTCATTTTCCTGATGTCCTGTTATTTCAAAGAAAAGAGGGAAATCAAACAGCTGTAACATCAGATGAACATGTAACTTGTGTGATCCCCTCCGGTGCTGAATTACTGTTTTTCTGAGCACGACAGCCAAAAACACCTTTTGTTACAATTCATATGTAAAAATATTTTGTTCAGTTACCCCAAAAATATTATTTTTATACAAGGTCTTTGTCGTCTGAGAGCACCATGTTTAGCACACTGCTTCGACTGTACATTGCACTGACTGCTAAGCTCTTATTTTCTGATGATTGGTTACAAATAAATAAAGCACTTCACCCTACTGCGGTGAGATACGAGGACAGTATGTGTGTGAACACCTTTGGCAGTGAACATGAAGCTGCTCAGAAAGACTCGGAGACATTCACAAACACATCATCTCATGTCTGACCCGCCCCAATCCTACGGCTTTGGCCTGAAGTTACCAACCTGCTGCCTCGACGATGGCTGAAGGTCAATTTCTACCTTCGATCATGTGATCGTTCATCAGCCCGCTAATTAAAACGTCAGCCTGTGATAGCCGACCTCTTCGCCCAAACTCTGATGAACTAATTAAAAGCTGATGACCTAATTAAACCCCCCAAAACTTTATATCCCAGCTTCCCTTTGCTGAGATCACACCGGCGGTCATACAAGACGGTAAACTCTGTTACCATCAGTCATTTAGCCGACCTTGTTGAGGAGAATTAGTGGCTATTGAGCTCTTTCCAGTGGGACTTTTGTTTCCCAGAGATTAGTGGCACAGCGTGACAGAAATACAGTTGCAGATATACCGAGGCTGTAAACTAAAGCTTTGAAAAGAATGAGAAATAAATAAAAGTGCTGGACAGTAGCAGCAGCACTGTATCCGAATATATATATTTTTAAATGTGAGGTGAGATGAAAGTTACAAATGAAACAAAAACGCAAACTGAAGGCTTCCCATGGATGATTTTGGCTTCTCGGGAGCCTCGTAGTTAAAGAAAAACCACAACACTCCAACTCGTGTTCCTCAGCACGACTAAACTACATGTTAATCTGACCAAGGCTCGTTCTTTGAGGAGCTCCTCCTCATCTCCGATGTCCTTTCAGCTTCTTGTTCCTCGCAGGGGTTTTGATTGGCTGACTGGCGGCTCCGTTTTCCTTCGGCACCGGAGCTGCCGCTGTCGGTGGAGACATCGGAGAGAAAGGGTCTGGCTCTCCGTCGAGGCTGGACTTGAACGGCCCAGCGGGGGAAAATTTTAAAGGACTGAAAGAAAAAAATAATAATGGTCAAGTTATTATAAACATGAGAGCAGGAAGGATAAACAAGCTTATTTTGGATGATCTCCCAAAGTTTACAAGAAGTCATTCCTCTAATTCTTCCCAGTGGGAGGATTTGCACTCTTCTGAGCTGGACTGCAGCTCTCACACTCTTACCCTGTAATCTTGTAATTTCAGTGTCAGTGGCACTGTACTTCACTTTCTCTCATGTCAGTTCACAGCTGCCTATCTTGGCTAGGACAACAGAGACGTTTATTCTCAAGACTCTTACTTTCCTGGTTTAAAAAGTTCCCAGGGGCCAGTGCTGGCCTACCAAAGGATCCGATAATACAACCCAAATGTTTCATAAAAATGTGTCTTTGTTCCCGGTGTGGTGATGGACACATTTGGAAAACTAAAAATATCTCAGACTAGTTTAAATAAAAGTCCTGCAGAGTACACGTAGTGACTGTAGACTCAGTTAACATGAAAAAACTTAAAGAAATTCACTTTCAACATCTCAGGCTGAAGAACTTTCAGCTTAAAAATTAAATAAGTAAACATGTTGGCTATAGTCCTTTTAGAAAGAAGTCCCAGCACCGCATACTGAAACGCTTCCAGGCAGATATTCTGGAGCTCAGTCACAACTAGGGATTGAGCTGTGAGGACCATGAAGTAAAGTTTTTGGACTGTTTCTCTTGAATACAGACTCACAGAAGTGTCTTTCTTTGCGTTACCTGATGGGCGTGCGTGGGCTGCTGTTGTGTCGGCGTACGTTTCTCGCTCGGGGTTCGAATGAGAAGCCTTCCTTTAGACTCTCGAGGACCGATGGAGCCACGTATGTGAAACCCTAAAAACAGCAGACGAGCGAAGAGCCTTTGACTATCTGAGGCTTCATTATGTAGCGGACAGAAAAGAAGTCTGATGAGGAGGATAATCTCACAGCGAAGGCGAGCTCTGCGCTGTGGCTGAGCGAAGTATCATCCGGACTGTCCACGGGCGTCTGTCTGGTAAACCTGGTGTCAAACTGGCTCACGTCCTCATCCGACTGCTGCACATACGCAGAGAAAAGAATGAGCAATTAATAAAGGTATAAGTTGGTGAAGGTAAGACAAAGGCATCGAGCGGTCTGGGAACATCAAAGAGAAACACGCAGCAGGAGGTAGATGGGAAGAGAAGTTAATTCAAAGAAAAAAGGGAGTGGAGACTGCTGAATCAACTCCTCTGGCTTTGAATAAATAAAAGGAATAGATAAACGTTGCCCTACCAGCTGTGGCTTATACGGCGGCTCCACTCTCTTATGCAGCAGGTCGTCCCAGTTAACGTGTTTAAAGAAGGCGTGTTTCTGTAAAGGAACAAAAGGACCTGTTCTTAGATTCTTGTGTTCTCGGGGGAACGCCACGAGTTCAGCTCCCTTTTGTTTTAAAGCGTCTGCTTTGGTTTAGCAGTGTGGAATATTCCCATCATATGAGCCGTGATCAGAGGTGTGGCCCTTAATCTAAAACCACATCTCGTTTAAATGGAATCATTTTGACCTCTACGTCTTTGACCCACGTCTCTTCATCTCAAGTGTCTTTGATTTCAATCTACACTTATTTTTCCCTGCACATCTTGTACCAGCACATCTTTGCTTTACATGTATTCACACACACACAGTCTGATTCAGAGAAAACACTGTACATCAGATTGATCTCCGTACAGATTTAGTCTAAACGATGAACAGTCTGCAGGTATTTCAGAGCGTTTCCTGTGTTGTAGCTCACACAGGAAGCATCAGTTAGTTACCTGGATGTCAGCACAGTCTGCTTTACTGGAGCCAAGTCTTTGGGCTGGGTTTTTCTTCAACAGCTGAAAAACAGATAAGAGTGGGGCGTGTCACCATGCAGGGAGATAACTGTGTGTCTAAAACCCTGAGCCTGAAATAATTACTCAAACACGTTTTCAGGTTTTACTCTTTCTAACCTCTACATTCATATAACACCAAATCACAACAGCAGTTACCTCAAGGAGCTTTGTAATGTAAGGCAAAGACTCTACAGCAACGTTCACTTACAAGAAAACATTTTCATTCAATGCTAGCAGTTATTATGTGAAGAACAAACAACTTTCATGTAAAATTAACTGATTTTGAGCAACTTGTGACTGAAAGTATTTGTCAGATAATTAGCATGACTTTTCAAAACTTTTCCAGCCACAAAAATCTGGCTTCTGCAGGTTTTTTGACTAAATCACTGAAACTAAAGTCATTCATTTGGTCCCTTTGCAAAGTTTTTATGTTGCTTTAAGGTGTCAGATGACCAGATGGAGGAGAACGGTGGAAGAAACGTCCACTGAAAGTATCGGTGCAGAAGAAAACCCAAGCAAAACATCCGGGTGCTGCGTACAAAACAAAGTTTTGTGAAAGTTAAAGGTGAACTTCACTAATGGCCTGGACTCAAAACTTTTACGATAAATATATATAAAGTTAAATGTTCCAGAGAAAAATCTGGACATGTTTAAAACCATCTGCTTACCGAGTGTTCCCTGGACTGTTTCCTACATTGATTTTATTTTGGCACAGAAAGGAGTGCGCTACACTGAGATGTGTGACTGGGAAGGGCAGTAAAGTCTCCACCGCACGCTGAGAAGACGGACAGCCAGCTTCTCTTGGCAGACGTGAAGGAGGGAGGCTGCTGGCAGGAGGCGAGCCCCGACTAATTCTTAAGAATCATTGATCTGACACCGAATCCACGAACAGCAATTACTCATATGTGTACAAACCAGACCAGGAGCCACGATGCATTATTTTAAAAAAGCAAAAATAACTGGGCTGAAAAACATTTAAAACTGAAACCAAATCAATTTGAAACCCACTCCAAGTGGCACAATCTAAAGCCAAAACCATGCTTTTCTTTAGCATGATTTATTTGTGTAACCAACTGGGAGTTGATGAGATACCAGTTTAAAAACTGTGAAGGGACAGAAACGAGTTTGCTACCCTGGATGTTTGATGTGTTTTCTCTTAGTTCACTGGAGAAAACTTCAAAAAGTACATTTAAGCTTTAAAATGCACAGAAGGACAAGCACAGCTGCACCGTGTTTCATGTCACTTTGTGCTACGCACCTTTTTGACGAGGTCTCTGGCATCGATTGTCAGGTACGGCGGCAGGCTGAGTTTACACTTCAAGATCTTATCGATGGTCTTCTTCCTGTTTTCCGCCGTGAACGGAGGCTGAAAACAGAGTACGGGATTCAGTCAGCGGTTACTAACAAGACATTAAAACTGCTTGTTAATCGATTCTGTGGGCACAGAAGTCACTCCATCCCAGCCTGAACCTAAATGCAGCAGGGTGGCTAAACTGAGGAAGAACAGGGGAGCCCACTGGTGGGAAATAACACAGTCACAACTGTCAGCCTGCACCACCAGTTTGGCCTCCTGTGACTTTTTCCTCGTTTGATGTGGAATTCAAGTTTACATGTTGCTGTTCTGACATACTGGTGGATTTTTTTCCTGGACCAGTACGGCCCTCTGTAGGAAAACTAGGGGAGCACAACTGATCTGAACAGCAAACACAAGGAGTCTGAGATCCTGCATTTTTTGTTACTTCTGAACATTTGATGAACAAAAATGTCTGACTGTCTCGTCACAGTCCAAATGCTCACCAACAAGATGTCACTGCTTAATAACCGGACTTCCAAGAAGCTGAGGACAAATTTAAATCAGGTACAGGCTCATCGTCTCGCGCACTTCTGGACCGTTTTCAGCTCGGCTGCTATTTTCAGAGCTTCTACTGGAAGTGCTGTTCTTGCACTTGTGCCTCCACATTGTGCATGCTGTGCTAAAACAGAGATCCTTTAACTTGATTTTCATTTTCTGGGAAGTGGATGATGTCACGGTGAGCCAAATCGGAGGAAGAGCTCAAGTGACGAGTTGTTATTTGCATGTGCTGGCACAAGATGGCAAGGTTGAGGCCATTTCCTCTGAATGCTGATGCATCAGGACGTGCTCACAGGCTCAACTGATGGTGCACAACCTCATGAATGCGAGGAACAAAAGCACAAGTAGACTCCTGGTCTCGCTCCTCCTCGCTCCCGGAAACTGTGGACAGTTCAACTGAAAACAGCTCGGTCGTATCCAGAGAGCCAGCCGTTATCACAAAATTCAGGTGAACCTGAAACAAGTTTATTTTTGCTCTCTGCAGAGGTCATCGCAGGACTTCTGATGATTGATCGAAAACCTGTAGCTGCACTGAAAGCTGACTGAAACATATGAGGAGATGACTGTGAATCTGGGAAGCCTGTTCTTTGAACCTTGTGATCATATTTATACTGCTGCTGCTGACAGGCAGTTGAGACGTAGCTCCAGCAATCCAAGTTTTGTGGACAGAGGCGTGAATCCATCGCTTGTAGAAATTCTCTGTCCAACCACCACTTTGTTTTTAATAACCATTTTAGCTGAAGTATTGTGGAGCTGAGGAAATAAATATTCTCCCTTAGGGTGTTTGGAGCACACACTTGCTTTACTACTTTCACTCTTAAATAAAATACCTTGACTAGAAAATCCGATGTTGTGAAATAGATTTCAGCCTTCGTCTTTGTAAAGCAAAACTTTAAGAAACGGCCTGAAGGCTCCACAGAAACAAACTGAAACTGCAGGAAGGAGCATGAGAACCTCGAGGCTCTCTGGATGGTCAGTAAAAGCTCTTCTTTGACTCGCCGCTCTTTTTCCAAACCACCATCTATCGCCCTAAACTAAACAAAATTGCAGATACTAGCCACAGGGGGCAGTCTTTTATTCTGTTAGGCTGCAGCAACCACTTCTTCATAAAAAGAGAAGCAAGCTTCCTCTTTTTGAGGCGAGCTTTCGGAGGAGGTACAGAGAAAAGCCAGCTTAGCCCTACAGCAGCCAATCAGCCTAAAAAACACTCCAGGCTCCAGCTTACCGATCCAGTCATCATATCGTACATGAGCGCCCCGAGGCTCCACCAGTCCACCGCTCTGTTGTGACCCGACCTGGTCAGGATCTCTGGAGCCCTGCAAGAAAACAGGCAAACACAAAGTGAGGGAGTGAACGTTTTTGTGATGGGTTATAAAGCCGAAGCCTCGGAGTCTGCAACGTTTAGGTGTGTGTGTTACCCACATGTACTCGATGGTGCCGCAGAAGGTGTGTGTGACGGATCCATCGTGAATCGATTCTTTGCAGAGCCCAAAGTCAGTCAGCTTGATGTGTCCTTAAATAGAAAACTAAACTGAAGCACTCAGATGAGGCATAAACGACTCCCTGAGGTACAATTACATCCTGTTTAGAATTCAAGACATTTGCCTCTTTTCTCCACCTTCATTCAAAGTGATGCCTGCAGTACCGCTAGTGTCCACTTGAGGCACGCTTTAAAACCAAGTTAGTTAAAATATGAGACTCTGCAGGAGAAATAAACACGTTTACAGGCAGCTATAAGAAATGAGACCCTCTATGGAGAGTTTCCAACTTAATACAATTTCAGCAGTTTTGTTATGAAGTGTTAAAGCTTGAATAATTCCTCCTGTCAGTCAAACATAACTCTTAGACTGACAGGTGCATCTGAGCTTGCTAGAGTCCCTGAACTCTGCATCACAGTTGTGCTGTTAGAGCATTTTTAAAGCATTTATCTGTATAATAATATGACTGCTGTGCAGTTATTGTACTAACAGCGGCTCCAAGAAATCTGTGCCCCACATTTCTACATATTTCTGCATTTTGTGCATTCTCAGGCAAACTTGTGCTCTCACCTTGGTGATTGAGCATGATGTTTTCAGGTTTCAGGTCCCGATAAATAATCCCGTTAGAGTGGAGGTGACCGAGGGCCAGAGTGATCTCTCCGAGATAGAAGCTAAGCATACACAACATTTTCATTAAACATTACTTAAACAGTGAACTGTTTTCAGCATCATTAACAAAACGCACATACCAGGCAGTGTCCTCCATGAAGATGCCTTCCTTCTCCAGCTGCATGAACAACTCTCCTCCTGAGGATAAACAGCAGAACACATGGATGAGACAGAGTTCACATAATGTCAGAACAGCGTGGTATGATAACAAATATCAGAGGCTGGATTTTCAGTCACATAGATTTTGTTTGACATGTATTTTGGGTGCAGGTTAAGAATATTTCTACATGCATATCGTGTCTCCAATCCGTAAAATGCCTTTGACAAAAGGACCTGACGGGTAAGTCAGGGTAAAGATGTGTTGCCCCACAGCTGGATGTTGCCTCCACCTTACCGCTCAGACACTCCAGGATGAGGTAGAGTTTTCCTCCCGTCTGGAAGGCGTACAGCAGATCTACGATGAACGGGTGCCTCACCGTCTCCAGGATCTCTCGCTCTGCTCGCGTATGGGCCGTGTCTTTAGCGTTGCACACTATCTTTGCCTGCAGGAGACAAAGAGTGGAAGGGGGGCTTGATACAATGACGACAGAGACAAACTAAAAAATGAAAAGTGTGCAATGCGAGGAAGGTGAAACAGCATCCAGGATCCGTCCACGTACCTTTTTCAGGACCTTCATGGCAAAAATTCTCCCTGTCTGAGCCCCTTGAACCTTCCTCACTTGGAAAACCTGCAGAGAAAGAACAGCAGCAGGATGCTGTACGACTGTGGTTGCATCAGGTGGGACGTTTCAAAAATCTAATCTGAAAAATCAAGGCAGCGACCCACTGTGGTGAATAACGGAGCGCCCTTTTTATTAAACAAACCCGACTGGAGGCAACCTTTTGAAGATTTTGTTGATGGAATTCCCCCAAGAGTATGATCACAGATTAGACTACCTAGTAATGTATAGAGAGGTAATAAAAGGTAACAGGGACCAGTAAAACTCTGATCTACTGTTATCAAGAAGGAATACATAAAACCAAAAGTCTGTGCTGAAGAAACATGCTACTTAAAGAAGTGTCACATGTGCGCACACACACACACACACAGACACACACTTTGCCATAAGCTCCTTTTCCCAGCACAGTAAGAAGCTCAAAGCAGTCCGGTCCGACTCTCTCACGGTCCCTGTTGACACTTTCACTGGTCAGCTCCACCTCCTCCGTCTGGGCACTAGGCAGAGGAGAAAATAACCAGTATGGGTACTGGCATCAGCAGTTATTATTTATTTATGTTTTATATGCACTGTTAAACCTGCCTTACTTTTCTGGTTCTGGGACAGTGAAGTCACACACATCATCCTACAGACAGGGAGAAAGAAGACAAACAGGGTTAAATGGAGCTGCCATATTTCAAAGGTACTTTTAATCAAAATGAGGGCTGCGTAAAAGGAGCTGATAGTCAAGAATTTCAGATTATAGACTTTTGAAATGGATGACTCCTGCTGCCTTCTGGACCAAACTTCACACCTTCTAAGACGAACTAAAACTGAAAAATAGCAGCTGTGTCAAACAAGCCTGTGTATTGTATTGGAGAGATATCAGCTGAAGTTAAAATAGGGCCGGGTATGTAATGCCATGTAGCACCACAAGATGGTGAAAAGGTCCAACAACAACAACAACAACAACACCACACAAAATTCTTCAGAGCTGTGACACAGCAGCAAAATAATAAGGAATAATAAAACTTTAAAGCTTTTTTAGCAACACCCCTTTTAAAGTGGCTGTCTTCTGATTGGCTCCCCTGTGCAAACAGAAGTTTTGAGTACCCTGTGAGTTAGATTCTGAGATGGCCAACCCAACCCCTTTTCTATAAGAGCATACAAAGCCCAAAGCAGAAGGACAGGAAATAGCCATGCTCCCAGTTTACTATAAAAGGGTTAGTTTTTCAGAATAAAACTCTCTAGTTAGTCAATTCAAAAGAATGCATTACTTTCCAAACAAAGCCTTCAGTGACTCACACAAAGTTATTGGGATGATTGTGTCAGGAGTTTCAAAATAAAAGCCCCTAGTTATAGTACTTTCTTTTAATCTCGTCATTTAAATTTCAGAATATATTAAAAAAGGTAAACCTGCTTTACAAATCTGTGATCTTCTTTCAACATTTTATGCAAAAAGTATATCATTTTCTGTCACTTCCTGTTTACCCTACATGTGGCACTTCATATTTTGTCATTTTTTCACAATTTGTATGTTTATAGTATTTACAGAAGACAAAGTAAAGAAAAACAGCATTTATCAAAACTTAACAATACATTTACACAACATAAATAAACTATCGTATAAAAACATGATCATTTTTCACATTGTTCTCATTTGGCTTGGCTATAATGAGCATTTAATGCAGACCTCTGTGTCACTGATGTCCTCAGTCTCCAAGTCGATGTCGAACACTCCTGCCATCCTGAAGCAAAGACGGTGCAGTCAGACAGTCTGCTGTGTTTCAATTCACTTTACTTACAAACACGGGAACATTTTTGGCTCCTGTGGCCCTTCATACACCGACAGCTACGGCTGAAAGGTCGACAACTGCGGGTTTCAGATCTGCTCTAACTGTGTGTTTACACCAGATCAGAAGCAAAGAGTAACGTCACATGAATACATCCGCATTTGAAGCTCAAAGTGTCACCCAACAGCCAACAGGACGAGGAGCACACGACTGACTAGCATGAAATGCAGAATGTGAAAACTACACTTTGCTGCAAAATCATAACTGGAAATTTATGTAGGATACTGGTTTGTACAGAAATCAGGTTTATATACTTTTATATTTGGGAAGAAAACAAAATGCAATGTTCTGTGACTCTGCAGAACATAAATAAATGTATTTATTCATTCATTAATGAGGATGTGACTTCCTAACAGCAGCACTGGGAGCCGTCCAGAGGTGCATAACGAGACGAACATGAAGGGCAGATTAGACTAAATTAATCAGATCTAAAATCTAAAAATGACACTATGCAAAACAAAATAACCCGATGGAAACTTTAAATGATTTTAAATATCAATAAAACATTGTAATTCACTCAGCAGTGCTTTTGTTGCTGTTATTACACTGCCAATCCCAGGTTGGATATCCACACGTTTATTAATGAATGTTCTGCTATACCAGGTGCCCAAATAGGAAAGGTTAACAGCCAAAATGCAGCTTCATTTCAAAGGTTTCTGAAAATGTGCTTGTTCAGCGTGTAACTCAAACACAGCATCAGCTGACTCAGTTCAAACACACCTTCAGACTGTGAGCGCACTCCAAATTTAACCAACTGGACCACAACACACCGGGTCTGGAACCACAAAACCCAGCATGTTTAACCAGTTGATAATTAAGGAGAGAACAGAAGTTATCTCCAGCCTCGTCTCACTCTGCTGCAGCTGTAACACCAAGCCGTGTGTGAATAACCGCAAAAGATACTGAACCAATCAAACATTAGCTGAGGCTCCACCGAGCAAAACACGGCCCGGCTAAGTGAACGCTTACGACGCGGCTGATCTTCAGTTTAAACCCGTTAAATGTGACACGTGAATTCTGTCTTATTTTACTCGATCTACGAAGCCTCGGCGTGAAAAAAAAAACAGGGACGGAGCTCATTCACTTCCCACGTTAGCCGAAACAAATAAACGTGTTACCATGACAGACGCGCTGAGCTTTCCCTGAGATGATTTTAGTCCCACAGATGGTCTTTTCGAGTCTTTAAAGTGTCACTAACTTCATTTGCCTGACGTGTCAGTGCGGTGACACGTCAGGCTGCGAGCAGGTTTGACAGGCTAAATAAAAACACCGAGAACAGGCTAAAGCTAACTAGCCTCACCTGGGGACGCTCCGTCATCCGGCGGACGCTCGGTTTTCTCTGTTCGGTGATTTTCTCTCTTCAAGCAGCTTTATGCACAACCAGCGGTGGTTGTCATTGCTTTGTCAGATTTTACTGACCTGGACAAACAACCACAGAGAGTTGTTTGGGTTCCTCTCATACGCCGCGCTACTCTTCTTCTACTGCTTATTGGGTGTATGACCGGTGTGTTGATAACCCGCCTTTACTGCCATCTACAGGACTGGAGTTTCGTAGCAGCAGGAAATCAAAATGCGAAAAACAATAATTGTTTTTCATGTTTAGCCTGTCTGAGTAGCTCAGAAACTGCTGATCTGCTGGGATATTCCCACACAAACATCTCTAGGGTTTACAGATAATGCTCTGACAGGAAAAAAATATCCAGTGAGTGGTACTTCTCGTGGAGAAACTACCTTGATGACTGTTTTGAATTAATGGGAAGGCGAGAGTTACTCAAATAACCACTCATTGCATTCAAGAACATCTCTCAAAGCATAGCAGATCAAGCCTTCATGCAGATGAGCTACAAAAGCAAGTGTCCACCTGAGGTGACACTTAGTCAGCTAAGATTAGGAAACTGCAATTTCCCAAAACTATAAAATAAAAGACAAGGGGGGGAAAGGTTACCGGGTCTAATGACTCTGGATTTCTACTGCCACATTCAGATATCGGGATCAGATTTGGCTGTAAACAACATGAAAGCATCGCTCCATCCTGCCTTGTATCAGCAGGTCAGGCTGCTGGTGGCGTGATGGTGTGGGGGATACTGCTTGGCACATGTTGGGCCCCTTAGTACCAACTGACTGGTGTTTAAACTCCAGTCTACCCAATTACTGTTGCTGACCATGGTCTTTATGCTCGCATTGTACCCATCCTCTCATGGCTGCTTCCAACAGGAGATTCATAACATGGAGGAACAGCTGACAGATATGCAATGACTGTGTGATGCTGTCATGTCAGTGTGGGCCAAAATTTCTTAGGAATGGTTCCAGCACCTTGTTGAATCAGTGCCATGACAAATTAATTCTGCTCTGGAGGGAAAAGAGGGCTAAGTTGGTACTAGCAAGTTGTACCTAATAAAGTGGCTGTGGAGCGTACACCTGCCTGTCTTCAGTTAGTCAATTCAAAAGAATGCATCTGTGCCTTTTTAGTGGTAACAGTGTTTTGTGCTGTGAATGTTTTGTACTTTTCATAGTAATTAGAATACTACTAAAGCAAAGATAAGGGGTTTGAAATATCAGCAACTGGACTGTTTTGTTTACTTTTTTAAATTAAAGTTTTTGATTTTATTGTAATTTGTTGGTGATTATTCCAGAATTAGTACAGTATAGTACATTTAGCATGTGAGTTTGAAATGTCTGTTTCTTCTCTTCGTCCTCATGTATTTATTGTTCAGCTGCAGTTTTGTCTGTCATCATTTGGGTTTCCACAAAGTGACCCATTTGTTTCTGAGCCGCAGGTTTCCTGAGAGGATCACAAACAACTGTCAAAAATGGGGAAAGAAGTTACCTGAGAATCACCTTCATCCACTTTTACCCAGTTGTTGGTCATTTATCAGTCATTTCAGTAACAGTGTCAAACTTGTGACCTTGTGGTGAAATGCAATTTTCCAGCTTGGGTGTAGTGTGGGCAAAATCCGTTAACGTGTTTCCTGGTGTTAATCAAGCTGTGTTTGTTTTGGAAGAAGTAACGGACCAGGATCATCTGAACACTGACATTTTGAACTTACTTTTTATTTTTTTAGTCAAATTAAATTAATTAGCAAGCAAATGACATATGGGTGCAGGGAGGTGGCGAGTAATCATCGTGGGCTTTTGTTATTTTAGATTTGGGGTTCCTGTTTTGTTTTCATTGTGAATCTATTCATGTGAGGCTTCAATATCAAAGCACTACTGACGCCAAGTTTTCATTTTTGTAAGGTTAAGGTTCTGGTTCCCATTTTTTGAATCCTCTCATATTTTAGTCTCATGGCATTTCCCTGCCTGTTCCTCCCTGTTTGTCTTGTTTCCCCGTTTCTGTTATGTTTACTGTAAATCTTCATTCAATCACTCTTTATTCATACAGCACCTTTAAAACAGGTGGTGCAGATCAGTGAGACACACCACAGGATGAGCACCTAAAATAATTGCAATCGCAGACCGTGGTAGCATTTTTAGGTTACCTGGAAAGACTGTGGTTGTTCACTTCCTCTGCAGGGTCTGATTGTGGGCTACTGAACTTAGATCACAAGAAAATAGATTTAAGAAGAAAAAAACTAAAAATCTAGAATTAAAATACATTTTTTTAAAAGTAAGATGCATCATAAAACTTATATGATCAGTAAGTTGCAATGAGAGACACAAAAAATGTAAAAAACAAACAAACAGTGAAACCGAAATATTTGTTTCATTGGAGAAAGTAAATAAGAAATAAGGTAAATAATGTTTTTCAAGTCAAAACTCAGTCAAAAGTTGGGATGACGCAGTTTTATGTTTGAAGACTGAATCACTTCCAGCTGCTCTCACATCTGCAGAGATACATGGTAAACATTTTCTCTCCAAAGGTTTTCGTCCTGACTCAGAGGACCTGATGGGTTCACGGTCGAGTCCTGCTAGATCCAGAAGCACACATTCCTTTCTTGCTCAGAGGTTAGCAACAGTTGTCTGGTTATAGAAGGAAGTTTTGGTGACAGATTGATCCGACAAACAGTTAAAATCTGACTCAAAGGGCCCTCCTATGTTTCTTATTTAATGTAAAAAAAATCAGTTCAGCTACATCTTTACATTTTAAAGTTAATCAAACTGGGTCATCAGTGTGAGGCCAAAGTCACATCTAAATGTCTTCTGTTAACTTGAGACCATCTGTTATTTCCTGTACTATCATGTGTGACCCATAACAGGCGAAATAAACCTGCACCAACTAAAAGAAAAATCCCCATATGACCCACTTCCCCATACGATCGGGAAAATCCAAATCCAACCTAACAAAGGTCTGACTGTCATATCAGACCTGTGAAAGAGACACCCCCGCCACCGCGCTGCTCGACCACATGCTCCCCTGTAATGTTTTTAAAAACAAGCTGATCGCTGATCCTTTGGTTAATGTTTGCTTTATGATATTTTCCACCTCAGGTCCTCTCACAGAGGTGACAGTTGTTTTGCTGTTGTGTGCTCGGGGTTCATGTTCTTAGAATTTCTGCCATTTCTGTGGTTTTAACTTCCCTTTATGTCAGCCTGCTTCGCATGCTCAAACTCCAGTCTTTATTTCAAGATTCACGATTCTTTATTGTCATTATGCACAACAAAACATACAGTTATACTCCCTCACGTGGTGCGCAACATTTAATTAACAGATAAATGTAGTGACGTATAAAAAGTATAAAGTCTAAGTAAATATATACATACAGATACAAGTACTCATGCCTACATAAGTACACAAAAATAACAAATACATGTATGACTATAAAGGCAAAAGCAAAAGGAATGAACATGAGATATTCACAGACTATGAAATGTACACAAAAAACTGATGATTACATGAGAATATGTGTATATCTTAGGATGTAAACATGCAGAATCAAAGTAGAATATTGCAGTTTTTACTTGTGTAGTAACATTTTATTACAATAATTTAGTTCCAAATACGTTACAGAGCAACAAAATACTAATATTTTTTTAATAGTTTATAACCATTAACAGGTTAAGCAGAACTTAAATGCCAAGTTAGCCATTAATGTCAAGGTCATGTTTCCGGCTGTCCCCGGATCTCCATGCAAGTCTTACAATGGGATGATTGTAAGACTCGCATCAAACTACTGTGGAAAATTCACCTCACAGCAGAAGTGAAAGCAGTTAAAAGTAAGAGAATACAGAAGCAGGCTTTCAGTGGAAACAGCGGCTTGGCAGCTGAAAAGGAAGTGGTCTGTTAGACCCTAACATCACCACCTTCAGGGACACGAAAATAGATACAAGATGAGGTCTCACTGGATTACATCGATTCTTACTGGTGAGTAAGAAAAATGCTTTGTGGGGTATCAAAAGTCTGCTTTAGGAAGGAGGCAAATTTCAATGATACTGATGGAAATTTCACCTTCCAGCAGGTTAAAGTTGTGTCAGATGAACAAACAGATATGAGAGAGGGCGTCATGATGGCATGACATACACTCGATGTGGTTGTACTAACTGTGGTGATGGGAGCAGGACGTTTCATTGTTGTTTTTTGATTATTTTAAATGTTAAAAAGCAAAAAAAGTAAACTACAGAAATGCTCATGAGGAGAAAAGTTCAAATATTTTCATTGAATCAAAGAACTTGGGGTCATCAGGAAGTACTCAGGAGTCAGACTGCACTGCTGCTCGTAACAGAAAACAGCACCCACGATTACAGATCAGCAAGCTCCGACTCAGGATACAAGAACTCACAGATATGTTCCACTCAAGTCACAAAAATAACATGACCTCCTCCAGCTGATTCATAGGATATACGTCTCAAAGAGAGAATTGAGCGTCATCTGCATAACATTTTAAATCTACAACATTAATCATCTTAATGATCTTAAAACCCCTTTCCTCGCTTTTAATTGAATTCTGATGCTCTTCTGTGAAGATGGTAGTTCATAGGTGCGTCTCCTCCAAACTGGCTGTGGGTCTGCTGGGAGTATAGGATAAAAGATCCAAATCCAGAAGTGGAAATCCAGGAAACCTGGAGGCTACAACTACTGCCAAGAAAACCTTTCCAGTCTCTGTCCAGTCAAATGAATTTGCTCTGATTACACACTAACTGCATAAAACTCAATGCACCTGAATACACTTTGAAGACTGAATGCTTAAAAAGCATTACGGTGTTATGTATTGATTAAACAGCAAAAACATTCTTTTTAACCATTTCGAATGGAAAAAAAACTCTTTCTGAAAATGAATCTGCTGAGTGCTTCCCATCAGAGCCAACGAGTTCTTTTTTGGATGAACAGACTGTAAGTAAATGTGAAATGAGCAACACTTTTACATAACTGTGGATACAGAGAAATATTTTTGAAACACTTCTTCAGAAAATAAAGGAAAATGAGCCGCAGTGTGGTCCAGTTCTGTGAATCTGTGGTTTCCATCCACTGAGTAAGATAATCATTTCAAATGGAAATATTTTTCAGTTAGATGGTTTCTGTGCCAGCAGCCTTGAGTTTATAGTCATAGATT